CTGTTCGCATAGAGTATAATAGCTTTTGGAAATAATCCCAACCGTCGAGGTTTGCGGGGAAGGGATGGTCTTCTTGCCATTTGCCACACGAGAACTGATAGAAGTCATCGCAAGGGTTCACTGAAAAGTCCATTGAACTCGATAGATAGCCCGCTATTTAGATTGCAATTACCATTTATTTTGGTTGACAACATTTACGCTAATTATTTCAAACCTGATGATATGCAAGAATCAGTAAAACATCTAGGTCCAACATAGTCCTTTTTCAATGGTGAAGCTGTGGTCAAATTAGCAATTGTTAAAAACAATTAAGCTATATTAACACTTCTATTCAAACTTTACATAACATATACTTTACATATCTAGCAAATAAATATAAACATGATCACATTATGTTTATTAAACTTTACCTGAGCTTAAAGTAAGGACCGCCAAAAGAGTGACCAAAATTATGGCCATAATTGCACTTAATATTGACGCCAGTATTAATATTATATACTTTTGATATGTTTGAGTCACAGTTTGACTAATAAAACAATATTTTAATTAAATTTTGATACACTTTAATTAATTGTATATATTTCTGATATTAACTTCTATCTTATTTAGTAGTTGTTTGAAAAATGTATTAATGATATAAACAAATCTAAGAAAACATTATTTCTAACCAATAAAAAGGGAATTAATCAAAAGCTCTTAAATATAAGTGTTATATACCTCTCGATTAACAATTGAAGAGCAAATTGATTACTTGTGTCCAAATCATGTGGAAAGGGATGGCATAAACATAATGTAATTCAATCGACAATATTGTGAACTATAGTATTAGGACTAAAGGGCTGATACAGAACTTTGTCAGGACTTGTAATACAATTAAAGTCTTCGTGTATTGAAAACTAATTATCAAGAATTAATGGCATATCTCTCTACTTATAAATACACTTAAATGCCTGTATTATAGGCGCCAATTGATTGATTTGAAGCGAATAACGTTATTGTTTTGTATAATCAAATCTTTAGCCGTAAATTTGATTAACACAAAAGTTTGTTTTCTCAAAAAAATGAAAATACTGTTTATTGTTTGAATTAATAATTTTAATGTCAATATTTGCTTTGATTTTAATTGTTTTATATTGTATTGTATACTCATTTCAAACAACTCACAGGTTTTTCACATTGCTTTCCATTCCAGTGAACTCATCGTTAGATTCTGTGTCTAAATAAAGGAAAAACATAATATGAAATCATTTTTGTTTGTCAACTATTTATATCA